GTAACTTGTACCTGTATAGTCAAACGTCTGCATTAAAGCGGAGATCCATTGCTGGGGGGCGATATCATTTGTCTCCAGCATGACCGTAAACGCATTAAGTGTACGGGTTAGCGTATCGAGGTCATGGTTGTTTATAAACTCGACCTGTTTACTGTTGGCATCCCAGTTCGACTTAAGTCGACTGATCTGTCCCTTGTACTTCTGGTTATCCCTATGGTCTTGTCCACGTTAGGCCTTACGTAGCTGATCGATGCGCTTTTGCTTAATCGCAATCATATTAGCAAAATATGATACATCATCAGCATGATGCGCATCGTGGGCGATTTCCATTTTAATTGTGTAATCGTCGACCGATTTGTTAAGTTCGGTCACCTCGTCAGAGTGGAAATCCTCTGCGGGCTGGTGCAATGCTGTGCGATCGAAGCGATTAAATTCGACTTCGTTAACACGTTTACGGGGGTGTTTATTACCCCTTGTAAAATCCATGGTCGAGGTCTTTCGGTGCTCTGTCCCTCGGATCGTGGTTGGTATTATAATCTTGGGTGATTCATGCGTCTGGAAAACATACCCAGTCTTAACTGGTTTCCGACGATTGTCATTCCAATTGGGTAAAGGTGGCGGAGTATTTCTACCTGCCTATGGGTCTATAATACTCTCAAGGACGGGTGACTCACGGCCGGATGTCAGAACATGCGAGTAATTAGCCTGAAGTTCTGGTAGTAGTACCTCGTAAGGATAGATACGCTGAGCACATCTGGCTCATATGCCACAGGTGCAGCGCTCGAGTCCTTACGCTCTTCGGGCGTAATTGCCTGTCGACGTTCTGTCCACTTCTGTGGAGAAACATGATCGCGTTAGTGCTGTGTATGTTTTCCTGATCTATACAATCGATCTACATGTTCAGTAGTCAAGTCTTCATAGGGATGGCTAACTGATTCTTACAGAAGATCGAGGTGGCGCCATCCTGGAGGACATCCGGCCGGGAACTAACATCAACCGAACGATCCAACAACGTCTGCACAGCATGGCGTCCTGCCCAGAAATTCAGTTGGTCTGGTTGTCGTCTGGGCATTAACCACATACTGGGTATGAGCATTGAAATATTCCTCATCTTCGAGCGAAAATGCGTCGAGACGCTTATGACAAACCAACGCTTATGACAAACCCGATTTGTTAACTTGGTCCATTTTTCCACGCTGTATTGCAACCGTACAGGTACAATTTGAGCGCAGAAGGATACGTTCGAAACGCAGTCACAAGCTCCTGGCACTCATCCTGAGACAGATCTGCCACTTGAGACTCGTAGAATAACTGCATACCGTACACGTAACCCATCAACGAACTGAGCGGGGGACGTTTGGGGCGGCCCACCTGGGCAGTATACGCATTCAAATTCTTGATGTGTACTCGATATTTCTTATTGAGTCCGACATCCTTGATGTACTGCTACGATTGCTTCCTCGTCATCAGAGAGTGATGACTTGCTCAGCGACACGGTGGCTGTATGAATCCGAGCACCTTATCTAACACAGCCTTCACCTGAGCATCGGTAGCATGTGCAAAAATACGTCCAGTCTTCAGTGTATACGGGCTAGTGCCTATGACCGACGAATAAGCCGCATTGTCGTTATCAAAGAAAACATGGTCCATCTCACGCCAGAGGTGGTGGAGATCAACTACCAAAGAGCGCGTAAGCCAGGACTGAAGGTCTTATTCAGCGCCTCTACGCGGCCGTTACCCCCGTTGTGCTCTTCGATAGTCACACAGTGGATGGTTGTAACGCGCTCGGCACAGTAATCCTGGAACTGCTTGCTGATAATAGGGATGCCTTTGTCAACCACGAATTCCCTAACATGCCCACGCGGGTAGATATATGTTCGTTACAGAACCGAATAGTGACCGCCACCGTCTGGTCCTCGTTATCCAACGGGCGGCCCATCGCGAATAAGTTATACCACCGTAGGCGTCCTTATTGATGGTCAGAAAATCAAGGTTGACCTCATCCGCAATACGTTGAGGGCGCAAAGGTTGCTGGAGAACGCTACGCGTGAGACCAGATGATTTACCAGAGCGGATACACTCAGAACATGTATACAGTATAGGCTTCAACACCCGCGCCGGTATGTTCCATCCGCCCTTCTCCTGGGCCAACACTCGCAATAGGTCGGCCAGCAGATGGCAGTAGCCATCGTGCCACAGCCATATGGATTCCAAGGCGGCCTTCGGAGGCACCGATTTCTCCATGCAACGCAGCTGGAGGTCCTCCAACTGCTGTAACGTTTTCGGTTCTGTAAACACGCGGGAAACAGCCGCTTGTTTGCTATGCCGACAATTCTGGATTGGGGCATCCGTGTTAGGGTGATGTGACACCGAATACGGCACGGCACGTCTTCTGGAAGGGAGCGAGGGAGGTTCCAGGGTCGATCCGGGACATCGAGGAAATTCGCCACTGCCCGCGCGCCCGTGCCCAGTGGCACCTCCTTAAACGAATCCATTGCTACTGGTGCGTCAAACCTTTGCACTATCTTGGCCAAGCCCGACTCGTCACGCCCTAGTGTGTGGTGTGAAGGGTCGGGTACAGAGGACGATACCGAGTCGTCGGCGGCTAACAGTATGCTGACCTCTGTGCTCGGCTCGAGTTCTTAAGCGATCCAATTATCTGCTTCAACCCAATCTTTAGGGAATGGCGCGGCAATTCTTGGGTCGTCGTCGGGATCTGTGCTAACGGACGGTGGTGGTGGAGCTGGTGATCTGGTAATCGCCATTTCCACTTACGTACCTCGTTGTGCAGTTGAACCGCATCGTTTTGGGCCTTAGCCAGCGGCTCCGCTTCGATGTCGAATTCGGGTAACGGTGTTCGTGCCCTTTGTGAGCGTGTGCTGGCAAAAAACGGTGTCAGCTCGTATCCTAGCGAAAGTAGAATTGGAGGGGGACTCCGGCTGCCCAGACGGTCCCAGAATTCCGTACGAAGCATGAGTGAAGGACGTGGGTGCCCCCGCCTGTCAGCATGGCCATCAAGGTAAATTCCCAAGGTGGGAGGCCCAGGATACGGTGTCCTCGATGCAGTAACGTGTCCGGACGGTGTGGAATGACAATTGGAGCGTCCGTAATCAATGAATAGTACAACGGCAACCAAACCGCATTGGATATAAAAAGTACGATCATGATAACCGCCGTGTCCGGGACATGGGCAAATACAGTAGGAAGCGGTGAATCAACGGCCAAGGGCTATTAGCGTATGCCAAAATGTAGCGAAGGTCGACCCCAAACGTATCCACCTTACCCCAGGTGCCGATACCATCGGCGGTGGTATAAACATCCAGGATATGATCCTCATGGCTCGCGAACAGCTACACAGTAATATAACCGTGGAGTTGCTGGGCAAGGTCGATCCATATAGAATTCAACGCCCAACTAAATTGAAATGAATGACATAATGAGCTGTCGTTTTGGGTTAGTCGTGAATGCCAGGACACTCGTGGGGTCGGTCCGGAACCGACCAAAATCACTGCCGCTATCGGATGGCTGGTTGTGCCCTGGTCTAGCGTAGGCTTCCAATAGACGCGTAGTTTGGCTACTGGTTGAAGTATGGGTTCCAAGTGATCCGTAGTACGGGAGAAGTAGTCGCCAAAGAGAGCCAATGAACCAGGTATCTACTGCATGTCTACTTCGACTTCGTTAATCACTGCCATTGCCCGGAGATATTGACTATTGCGCGCTGTATCCTCCTGCATATATTGTTCGGGGTGCTTAATCATGGGTGTAAGTGGTTTGTGGTCCGACACTAGGAGTACTGGGCGCATTGACCGGCGGCATATAGCAAAATTATTGAACATAGCGTATGCGCACCCCGTCATTTCTCTGTCTGTTGCCCCATAGTTACGCTGGGCATTATTCAATTTTGTGCAGAAAAATGACGAGGGATATAAGAAACGAAGTGGGCCCAGTGGAATGCCTAATTCCATAGGAGATTCAGCGGTTACTGTAGCCACGTCCGTCGTTGTGTCCATCGTAGAGATATCGACAGGGGAGGACCGCTGGATGAATGGGACAAGATAAGCATCTTGCTGGTGTCACTAGCGTACTGCGTTGTGTGTTGACTCGGTGTTGTTCTGCGAGTGTGCCGCTCCGCTGCGTATGTATAAGAGTGCCACTCCCACCCGTTGTGATTCGTCGAGTGAATCATTCTTCGTTAGTGAACCACTCAACGATACTTTATTCGTGAGTGAACCACCTCCCAGCTAGTGTACCACTCAGCCCACGGACAAAGTGTCGGATCCCGGAATACATATTGTTTTTTTTTACAAATACACTTTCTCTATACCCTAATGAATTTAGAAGGCTATGCTAAATCTGGCGGTACTGACTACTGCACTATTTTGCTAGTGAAAGGCTAATAAGCTGATACAGAAGCCTTTTTCAACATCACCACCGAGAGTGAGATATTTGGTCACGTTGCTGGTAAGCCGTGGGTGTCGGTCGTCGACTGTGGGGGTCTGTGACAATGGTTTTAACCAGCTTCCGCTGGAGAAGTAAACCCAGGATATTTATCGGAGGCAAACCTAGTTTATCTCCTTTTTACAGAAACCTCCAACTCCTGCAGGTTTTTCTTTGCCTCCTGGTTTACGAGAAACCAGCTTGGTCGGTCGGTTGTGAACCGATCATGATAAGAAACTTTATTATAAATCCCAACAAGAAATTACATTAAAGTTTAGCCTTTGAGTAGTCGATACGTAGGTCTCTTTAGGTTATGGGTGTGCCTATTTTAGTGAATACTGACAACCTGTTATCTAGTATTCGGCTCACCACAAAGGGCACTGTGGTGTCCTGGACTGTCCTAGACAAGGATGGATCCAACATTGATATCTGGGAGCGCGACATGGAACTTGCAATATTTTCCCAGCGCACAGATCATCTCACTTCGGTTTTTAATTTGAACAGAAATTTCCACAAACTTATGCACGAATCCTCGCTACGCCAATCAAGGATTACGATGATTATCAGAATACATAGTGAAAATTCAAGCGTACATTAAACGGGTATGGGAAATTAAACCTATCACAAGGCCAAAACTCTCGTACTCGCTTCCATGCATCCTAAACTACGTGTAAGCATGGCACGTCTTATCAAACTAGAGGATCCTTGGAACCTATACTCTGTCCTCAATTTCAAATTTGAGCATGAATCTCGACGTATCCACCGTATCGTTGATACTGCTTTCCTTGCGGCCCTTACTAAAGGCCCTACTGAATCCCTTCGTCAATGAACCACTCGACGTAAACATGCCTACAACACTGCCTTGGAGCAATGGGCTGAAGCTAAACTTAAATTACATTATGAAAATTTACTTCTAAATCGTACCTTCTTTTACGTTAACTTATTGACATCGATAGTCAGCCGGGTTAGTCTGACTTTTACAGATGCAACTACTGCAACCACCTCCATACACCCCTCAACGCAACGCTAAGGTCGAGCGGCCCCAGGGTACATTCAATATGTATGTCCGCCAACTATTGAAAAATGCGGGCAGGCCTTAATCCGGCTGGGGTATCACTTTCCTCTGGGCAGGTGACCTTCACAACAACTGTTTAAGCAAGAGCGACAAACTCCGGACTCCTGCGGCGACTTTTCGTCAGCGCCCTGACTATAGAGACCCTCGTGTCCGGTTCGGATGCATTGTGGCGTACAAACTCCAGGGCGAAAAAGCCAAGGGGCACCACATGAATACTTGCCTAAAGCTGGCTATGGCGTCCTATTCGGTCGGGCTTCCATATCTCCTTCCGGCTGCTATCGAATCCAAACGCTAGACACTCAAACTCGGATGTATACCAAGGACATTAAATTCATCACTGAGCGTAATGCACAATGGTCAGCTGACTGTAAAATTGCATCTCTTTCTGATGCTCCCACCACTTATGACATTCCTGTGGGCTAGATGTTGCTTAACTCTGATCCTGGAACCACTAACATTATATTCATTGGACCACACCCGCCTCCTATTGACCTCTTTAACTCGCTGCACCAAGATGTCATCAAATCAGAGTCTCAAAATGCTACTCTCCCAAACTCTCTTGATTATCTTACCCAAGCCGATATCCCTCCTGGGCCTACTGCCGAACCATTGCCGACACACTTTAATGGCCCCAATAATCCGCTTCTAACTCTTGCTACTGCTCTCTTACCTGACGACCCTCCATCAGCACCTCCTCACCCACCTGCTGCCACCTCTGTTCCCACAATGCACCCTCCGCAAACCGCGACAAATATTTATACAGCTACACGAACACCCGTATTTTTTCCTGATCTCCCCACTTTCTAACCCTGCCCGTCCAGGGCGGACCCCCGAACCTCAAAATTTTCGCCAAAATCTTATGACTTTTCCTGTCCATCACAGAAGACACTCGACTACCACTACGCCTTATCCGGGGCGACGAACATGTCGAGGAGGACAGCTACACTGACACATATTTCCCCGCTGCACACAGTATGTCTCTACACTTCTTCCTCGCTAACACCACCTTTGAACGCAAGCAGGTGTATCACTTTGACTTTACATTTGCGTTCCTCTACAGTATTTTGGACGCACCTGTGTATATGTTTCTACTAAAAGAATCGGTAGAGCTCGGCCACTACCCCGCAGATACTGTGCTCAAGTTGAAACGCGCCATCTATGGCATATATATAT